TGCTTGGGGGGGGTGTTCGGCGGGGGGCTCGGCAGGGCGGGGCTTTTTTTTGCTGTTAGAGCCGGCCCTGACAGTGCCAAGCATGACTGGGTCCTGGTCCCGAAGTAGGGCTCCTAGGTGCTAGAATAATTTAATGAATAAATAATAATAACTTTGCAGGATCTAGCTCAGAAAGTGTAACAGTCACTATTTATTTGGAGCCAAAGTCCACCCTCTGTAACTCGCATTTCAGTGTTAATGATGACAGAATTTGACCCTTCTCGATTAATATTTGAAATGTAGTTTAGGACTGATTGCAGCTGGTTCACCCGCAGGGTTTTGTAATCTTTTCCTTTTTTCCCTTAGCAAAGTGAAGACATTCCAGTCTTATTTTTCATTCCTGTTTTCTTTGCCTTTTTCTGGCTTGCCATGTTCAAAGGTTCTGATTGTTATTCACCACCCCAGGCACCTTTTGTCTATAGATGCACTCGGCAAAAGAAGAAGGCAAAACCACAGCACTGCATCAAAGGACTATCTGAATATCAATGAATAACGGCTGCTGACAGAGCAGAGAAAAATAACTGTTTATAGAAATCTACAGGAGAAATATGGATTCCTCAATATTTGGACTCCCACACTTAAGTAAAAGGGAAGGATGAACACCGTGCTGTGTTTGCTGTTTTGTGAGTCATTATATCATTGATTAGTCTTAGACAAGGCAAGAATTGGGGGGCACAGGAGGGTATCTGTTAACTAACTTCAGTTTAATAATGATAATGATAATACTGATCTCTTACACTTTTTATCAGGAGGTTTCAAAGCAATTACAAAGGAGATCAATATCATTTTCCCTTTTCAGATGGAGAAACTGATGCACAAAGAGGTGATGTTACTTTCCCAAGGTCACCAAGCAGGCCTGTGGCAGAGCTGGGAATCAGAGGCAGATTTGGGGTTTGTGGGGCCCTGGGCCAGAGCAAATGATGGCCCCTCCCCACCCCTTTCACCTGCAGTTCCTCCTGCCCCCACCTGGTACTCCTGCTGGGGAAATGAGGTCAGGGCGGGAGAGTTTGCCCCACCCCGCCTCCCCTCCCGGCACTCATGCCGGGGAGCTTGGTCAGGGCACAGGGGCTTCCCCTGCCCACCCGGCGCTCCTGCTGGGGAGCGGGGTCGGGGCATGGGGGTGCCCATTTTTCCAGAGGCCTCCAAATTGGCCGAGGCCCCTGGGCACAGGCCCAATTGGCTCAGTGGCTAAATCCTCCACTGCTGGGAATAGAACCCAGGTATCCTAAATCCCAATCTAGTGCTCAATTGACTAGTTTAGACTAATATATTTATATTTTGTACAGTATTAAAAATATAAACTCAAAACTAGTCCTCTATATTCAGCGGTCTGTACTGAGGCCAACATTGCATTAGCTTTGTTGGGAGTTTGTCCTGAATAAGAACTGCAAGATTATAATCTTATTTTTACAGGCACATTTTAGCCAGGTAGACAAACCAAGAAGACATTTGGATTTCTCTTACAACCAAAATGAAATGCTCAGCCATTTTGGATTTACATACAAGAGGAATGATAGACTGACTATGAATGGAATCCTTCCAGAAATGATCAGCTGTAGTAATACAATTATTCTCCAAATATACTTAAAAAAGCAAACTTAGTTGCTATTGTTTCTTAAGTAGTTTTTCATAAAATAGCTGACTGAATTTATGAAAATCAATTCAAAACAAAGAATATGGATGTAGCTTGTGGTATTTATTGGTTTATTTAAAGGACACCATTAGGGATCTCTGGATTAATATCTGATTTATTTACCTTAACAGATGTTCTCCATTTTCTAGGTCTGACAAAGATTCCAAACATCCACCATTAATAAGTCAATATTTAACTACATTTACTACACTGCCACTGGTAATTGTGGTAAAATGTTGACTTCTTAATGGAGACCTCTCTATTTTTCAATACACTTCTGACTTACCATGCATCCCCTTGTAGATATATTGTGTCTACTGCCATGTAATAACTTTTAAAACATCCCTTTAGTCACAGAAGTTAGAGATGGAAAAAATATCTAGCTTACATAGTGCCTATCACTGTGGTGTCTTCGTGCTTCTACACAAAATTAAGGAGTGCAAATGAAAAGAACAAAGCTGTTATTTTCTCTGTGTTCCTCAAGAGTTAGATCTTGTCAGGGTCATATCGTCTCTTCCACGCCACTGCAAATTTGTTCCAAAAATAGTGTTACA